GTGGAAAAAAACAAAAAATTTTGTGCCTCTGGTAAAATATCCGAATTCATCAAAAAATAATGATATTTGATGATTTTTTCGCTTCTTGTATTTTAAAATGAACGAACATTCATAAAATAAAATGTGCAAGTGTCTCAAGAATAATGTTAATGAATTATATTTTTATTAAAAAGGTTTTAATAAAAAACAATAAAAAGTTTAGTAAATACACAATACAGTAAAAACCTTCCAAGAGCGGCCATTTTTGTCAATTAAACCTTAATTACCCCTCTACGGAGTCCTCCAATTTAAGTTTACGTTTGAAAATTCCTGCTCTTGAGAAAACCTGCTTTTTCGAGGCACAACTATTGGGAGGTTTTACTATATCAGACTAGTTTGGAAGTTATAGTTACTTTTCAACGAATTTTAATATATAAAACTATCAAGAATTGATACTGTATTTTTACTGTATTCACTATTTTCGCAATACGAAATATAATCTAAAATCATTTTCTTTTATTTAAAACAAATATAGTCGAGCTTTCAATTATTTGTTGTGATCAATAACTGTATTAGGTGGAAAACAATATTCTCCGATAGAAGTGACGCTTGATGGCAATAAAATTTCTTTGAGATTGTTACATTCAGAAAAACAGTAGTCTCCCAATGATGTAACAGTAGACGACATATTCACGACACTCAAATTGCTACATTCTTGGAAACAACTTATTCCCAATGATTTTACTTTGGATGGAATAGTTATTTTACTCAAATTTGTACACCCACTAAAACACAGTTTATCGATAGACAACAAATTTTCGTTTAATGAGATATCACTCAAATTGCTGCAATCGCAAAAACAATACATTCCGATAGATGTCACACCATTTGGAATTTGTATTCTTTTCAAACTTTGACAATCAAAGAAACAGTGTTTATTGAGAACAGAAATATCGGTTGGCATTGTAACACTACTCAGCTTATGACATTGCCTAAAACAACTATCTCCAAGCAGTGTGACACTTTGTGGGATGTTAATTTCTACAAGGTTTGAACATCTTGTAAAACAGAAATTGCAAATGGATTTCACGGTATTTGGAATAACAACACTTGTGATAAATTCACTTGTGAAGAAACATTTATACCCCAACGATGTGATATTTTCTGGTATTATAAAACTGGTCATATCTGATTTGGAAGTCAAAGGTTTGTTGTTGATTTCTGTGACACTTGTTGGCACATTAAATCCATTCAATATTTTTGTGCCAAAGTAACATCTTAAATTGATCACATTTATTATATGTGGCATTGTAATGGAAATTAGACTGTCACATTCATCAAAGCATTGATGACCAATTGTCTGAACGTTTGATGATAACGTGATACTTGACAAGTGTGGACATTCTCTGAAACAATTTTCACCAAGAGATGTTACACTTGGTGGCACAGTTATGTCACTCACACTGTCACAATTTTGGAAACAATAATCACTTAATGAAGTGACAACTTTTGGAATTACATTGCCAAACTTTTTCCTGTCAAGGTCGGTGTATGTCACGTTTTAAATGTTATTTTTGTCTTTGTTAATTGCAACAGTTCTATAATCAACATTAAACCACACTATTATGTTATAAAAATCTTTTTTAATTGCAATTTCCCTTCCTTTGTTAATGTCTTCATACTCTGATGTATCTTGGTTGTCTTCTTCGGGTTCAACATGAAGAAGAATTTCATTGCCAAAGTTTTCATCAGACTTATTCCATATATGGAGCGTCTCTAAATTTGGAAATAATTTAATAGTCTTTTGAGTTATCGTAATTGGGTTGTAATGGAACTTAGACATTGTTTCTTTGTATAATTGACAGACAAACTCCAAATGAATAAAGTCTTCAATTGTTTCAAAGTATTTTGATACTATCGAAATGTGATAACTGTCAAGAAAAGACATACTAACTTGATAATTACTAGATATGTATTTGGGTTTAAATATCTTCGAAATGTTTCTTGAAATGTATTGTTGTGTAATAATTAATTATGATGAACTACACTTTTTTTGTTTAATTTAAAATATAATTAAAATGTTATTTTTATTATATTAAAGTTTATTTATATAATATCAAACTATTTCATAATGAGATATATAATAATATGATATTATATCACATTAAAATGGTGTAATTGTGATTTTTGTATTTTAAAAACATATTATGTGTTTAATTTTTTTGACAATATTAATTTAAAGTTTAAGCTCTGAATAAGTAAAATCAAAAATATTTTTTTTTCAATGAACCAATTCATTAACAATAAAATCAATCATTTCGAAACTAGACAACAACCACAAAGTCGTTATTTGTTTTTAAAAGAGTCGGTCTTTATCGTTATCTGGTGGACAAAAATAGACTTAAAACAATCGGTATTAGCTAAAATGTAGAAAAAACTCGAAACAATGAAATGGATTTTTTGGATGGCTTTACGAAATATTCGATTATTATTGGTCCAAAAAACTTATAACGTTTAAAGACTGAGAGTAACAAAATTATATGTTTATTATTATTTATTATTTTTTTATAAAAGATATATTCAAATAAAAAATAACTAAAAAAATGAAAAAATTTTAAAATAAATATAAAAAACAAATAATTAAATCTTTTTGTTCATTATATTACAATTAAATATTTTGTAAAAATAAGACTATTAATCCGAAACCAAGACTTGAAATGTGTCTGTACCTTTTTGAACACCCAAACGAAATTTTTATCCTCTGAAACAATTTAATATCGAAAAGTGTTTTAATAATTAGTCGTTTTATAATTATTTTGAAATAATTAAACAAACTTCAAATTTTTTAATGTATTTAACTATAACTATTATATAAAAAACTATTATAACTAAATAAATGTCACTTACTGAAATACAGACTCGTCCACATTTTATTCGTCTTTTAAATGGTTATGAAAAAGGCGCCTATCCAAATATAATGATTCTTCGAGGTGAAATATCTTTATCGAAATCAGTAGATGACCCACTAAAATTTCTTGAAGATAATATTCAACCCATTTTTAGTCAATTTGAGATCACAACCCTATCTATTTGCTCTTTAAATGACATACTTTTCTTCACCAAAAGCACATTACCGCCATTGATAAAAAGCGTTGGCTGGGACTTCTTGGGGACTTCTGAATGCTTAAAAAGTGTTGAAACAGTTCAAATCGATTATAGTGTATTTGACTCGTTCAAAGAGGGTATGCCGCTGCCCATGATATTAATCTCAACAAAAAGTAACACTCTAAGATTGCACGTCTGCTGCACTCATGCAGTTTGTGATGGACGGACCATTGAAGGGTTGTATCGCATAGTGGCGCACGTGTTTGATAATAGTGTGAATCTTCCAGTTAACACGGCACTTCCCTCTTTTCACTATCAAGAGCTTTTTGCAGGCATTTCAGATGATACATTGAATCGCCCATTTTCACGTTGGAAGACTAACCCGACAGGTCCTCGCATTCTTCCAGACGACAAAAACGTTTTTTACTCATTTGCAGCGGATTATACGAAATACACGTTTCATGAAATACAGTCGTTTTGCTCTCAAATGGGTGTTGGAGTGAACAGTGTCTTAATGTGCGCATATCAGAGGGCGTATAGAAAATACTACAAACTGTCTGACGACGTCGTGTTGATCGCACAAGTACCATCGGACACAAGGAGGTCGTCGTATGCGTCTGACACACTCAAAACGAGAGAGCTCTTCTGTGCTTCTGCGCCTGTCCGCCCACTCGTTACTTCACAAAAAAATCTGTTCGACGAGATTTTGGAGTGCAACAAAAGACTGAAAGAAATTTTGTCAACTGAAGAAAATTGCGTGTTCATGAGGTACTCTGCTGATACTATTGACGAAAAGAATGGAAGTTTGAAGGAAAATGAAATCAATTTTTCGATCAATTTGCCTATGATCGGGATGTCAAATATTGGGCAATTTAAATACACAAAAAACGCTCGAGTTATGTTAACAGCTAATTACCATATATTGGTACCACCATGCGTTTACTCGTATAATGAGGGTAATGTACTCAATTTATACTTTATGAGGTCAGACCCTATGCCCAAGGAGTTGTTACAAACAGTGTTTGATACATTTGACGATGTCTTTGGGCAAATTGGAGCAACAAGAATTTGATTTTTTATTCTCATTTAAAAATTTATATAAAGATTATTAAAAATAGTAGTACACTTAGTTTTATAATATACTACCAACCATTTTAAACATCTAAAAGTTTACAGATACAAAAATTATTGGTTGTCAAAGAAAAAGTGGTTGTTGCAAAAATAATGTTATTTATAACAAAAATTGATATTTTTCAAATAACTTTCAAATTGTAGTAGTATATATATATTATGGTGATTCTGGGGGAGTACCTCCCACACCCATCTTCATGATATATGAAAGTCGTGGAGCTAACGACTTTCTAATACAAAGCTTCCTTTGCTTTGACCGAGATTTTTGGAACAAGGATTTTTCATGAAAATTAGAACCAAATATTGTAAGAAAATCAAGCTTATTTATTGATATATTTATTGATACATGTTTTAGTTATTATTATTTTTTATATGATTTAAATGAGTGTAAACAATATTATTATTGAATGAGATTCTAACGTAAAATATCTATCTGATATGAAGAATTTTGAATTACCTAATTGAATTTTTAATAAGGTTTTACCTAATGTATGAGGTACTTATCTAGCTATAACATCTAAATATTTAACTGTAATTTGCTTTCCAAGACTTGGAATTCTTGATTCTAAAATGGAACAACATGAAAAACTGTTATTAGTAAAACAAGGTTCTAATAATCCCAAAACAATTAAATTGTATATATCTAAAGTATCAATTCCAAAAATCTTAGTAACATATGAATCATTTTAAAACTAATATCAGTTGTATATCAAAAATATTATAAAATAGTTTTTGATAAAATCCAATTTATCTTATCTGATTTTGCTTTTTATTTAACAACATTAACTCAATTCTTGGATGTAGTTTCTAAATGTAATTACGTTACTTATTTATCTGCTACTCTTATTTTTGATGAATACATTAATCTACTTCCTCAATTATAAAATTTACCATATTACGAAATTCATTCAAAAAAAACATCTAAAATCATGATTAACCTTACAATTCTTTTTTTCTTTTATAAAACATTTTTTTAGAAAAAATGTTTTGTTGATGAAAACGCCAATATTGTTAGTGTTTAAATTTAAACATTTCCAAAAATTAAAGAAAAAAAAGAAAACCTCTAAATTATTGTTTGCGTGATTGGTTTGTTTACAATATACATTTCAAAAGAGTCGCCAAAAGGTAAGTTTTTTTTGTATATCATATCAGGTTCAAAAAAAGTTGTGTTTTATTTAAAACAGTAACATTATTGTACGGTTAATATAGTATTTATAATTAACTCTTTTTTCACTTTTATTTTTTATTTTTATATAAAGATGTCAAAGAATATGAATTGTATATCCAATAATAAAGATATGAGTGTTGATTATTTAAAAGATAAGAAATTAATTATTGGTAAAATGTTTGATAAGAAATATTTAATAGAAAATAACAAAAAATATGTCAACTGTCTTATGTAATAAAGAGAAATATTTAGAGAGAGTAAAACAAATTAAAAAATGTTTCGAAGATATAACTAAAAATAATAATCATATTAAAGAATTTCTAGTTAAATTATTATTAGATAAAAACAATGAATGGGAAGCATTTCCAGAGAAGATAACAATTAAACCATTATAAGTAAAAACTAAAACAGATATTGAAAAGCAATTAGCTTGTTTAGATAAATTATTAATAATAAATGAAGTATCTCCTAATATATTTAAACAAGTTTCTGATTCGAATAATTATCATATTATTTTTGAACCATTTGTTAATATGTTAGTAAAAGACTTAGTTTCAAAGAACCAAAAGAAGACAAATCATTATAAAGTTTAAATGTAATATTAGATAATTGGAAAACAAATACTCATAATGAATCAGTTCAGATAAGATTATTATTATTATTATTATTATTATTATTATTATTATTATTATTATTATTATTATTATTATTATTATTATTATTATTATTATTATTATTATTATTATTATTATTATTATTATTATTATTATTATTATTATTATTATTATTATTATTATTATAATCAATTAATTAACAATTACATAAAGAAAACTAAATGAAATCTAAACATTAACCCTTCGAGGACGGGAAAAAATCAAAATTTGTAAAAAAATAAAAATCTTAGTCAATTGTAATGTAAATGTGACCTTTTTTTCTTTAATTTTCAAAAAAGCTAGA